CTCGCCTATAAATTCAAACTTCATTTATTCGACGCAATAAGTCGAACTCACAGGACTCCAACAGCATAAAATTCCACCAATCAGTAAAACGCTTAACTCACCTGACCAATCAACTTCTCAACATTATAATACTCCTCGTCTGTTTCTCCCATCATATGATGCTTCTTCGCCATATACCGTGCAATAGCCAAACTCTCTACCATCCATTTCACGTGCCCATGATTATCGGTGATTTTCACTGCAGGCAATCGTCCGCCCGGAATAGTTGGTTTGATTTTCGGCCAATCTTGGAAACTAATTCTCTCATCTTCGTAGTTCACACCAGCTGCCACAAGTGTCATCCGGATCGATTCAGCTCGTCCGCGTCCGTTAAAATAGATAACCTATAGAAACTACAGCTTAGTGTTTCACATCACTTTTCGCTTGAAAACAGTCTCACCATCCAAGTCCTAACCACTTCAGAAAAACCATCACATAACAGATAACTGTTCCATGGATTACATATTTCTGAAATATGGACCAGATGGATTCACTCTCTAGAACCCTCTAGGTTCTCGCAGCAATGTCACAGGCAAACCATAACACTTCCAGAAATACTACACCTAACTTTTCTTAAAACAAACACTGGGTGATTACTATCTGACTATAATGGTTGTGCATCATATCAGAACTCGGTCTGAACACGTAATTTAGTGGGTTGATGAGGTGAAAAATCACTGCTAATTATGTGTACAGATCTACTGTGCAATCGATATGACTCAGTATTTACTTTCATATCGCAAATAACATTTATTCTACCTAATACTGCAATTGGGAACCTCAACAACACTCGAAAACCCACCAATGGACACAAGTGACTAAAAACAACCAACCTGACATACCCTTACGTGTTCACCAGTCATTGTACAGGTAGACATAAATCAAGCTAACTAAGCAGTGACTTAAATAGTCATCTGGTAAATAAATCCACCAATAGTGCAACTACTGCATTGTTTAAGCTGGAAACATTTCATTTCTATTCGCTAATCCATTGAGTATCTCATTGGCTGTGAACAAGTGACCAATGAAAATTAAGCAGACAAGCTAACAGGACTCATTGAGCATGTAAACCGTTTTCAATGATGGTTCATTTAATATACTTTTGCTTATTTTATTGATAATATGCGTTAGCAAACGGATTTAACTAAGGCTATCATGTTAGGATAGTATATCCATGATCAAGACATCTGAAAACAAATTAACACTAAAGAACCAATCAACTAACCTGATTTCATGAAAAAAGTATGACTTCAATAATCAGCAAACGCGAAAATGTTAAGTATAGCCTAGTTGATTGGACACTGTTTATCCTAATAATTTATCCTGATCAAGTGATGTTTGTTTCCGAATAATGCCATAATTATGTAGCTGTGAGTAGACAGACTTCATTAAGTTCTTAACATCCTGCTTAACAATATCTTATGCATCTTTGTGATCTCAGGCAAAGTTCTCACAGTTATCGGTAATATTTCCTAGAAATAAGTTGATAAAAAACGCTTCATTTGGCGATTTAAAATGTCATGCACATTTTTTAAAATAATGATCATAGTAGTCTTTCACTTCACTAATTTTGTTTCAGTCGATACTTGATTGATTCTCTCAAAAGTGATTGGAGTATACAAGTTTTCATTCCAATCCATTGTGGTGGCTACCCCTTAGGTTTGTATCTAAGTCTAAAAGATGGCGTTCTATGCTAACTCATAACACTTAGTGACTCAGGTGTTTCGGTGACTATTGATCAGAACCAACTGATGGTGGGGTTTATAGAGAGCTATAGTTCAAGCAACCAGCTCATCCAGAGAAAAGTCGAGTGGATTTATTCCATTCACAAGATTAAGCTTTTATCCAGGTAAATGAGGTGTACTGGACATTTAAAGTTTCTGTTCGTGAGCCTCTTTTTTCAACTCGGTCATTTTCTCGCATACCCATTCCAGTGAACTGTATATCCTTCTATTTAGTTGTTCTGTAATGACGCATACTATCGATTACTTAAGGATCGATTCAAACACAGTATGCTCGAATATTGCATCAAATAGATCAACATTCAATATTAGGAATTTTTCGACCTCAGTGAATCTATGGCATAAAACAATTACCGTCCATTAGGTATTCTTATTCACTTCCCACTTAGTGAAAATCTATATGAACTACTATACAACAGTGGCAAAATTAGATTCATCAGAGAATTAACAGAAAAATACTTAAGTTGTCTTAGTGTCCTAACAAGAGGTGTTTATGATGATCAGAAGTATTCGAATTCATGTAAAAACCAGGAATTCCCGAAATGGTGCAATTTACTCTAAGTAGAACTAGATGAGAACAAATGAACGTGTAATATTAGGAATTCGCAATCAGCGGGCCATCAAATACGGAAGAATCATTAACTCATACAAATACCGCAGTACGCTTTCACAGAACCAAATCAGCAAGTTACAAACATTCGACTTCAGAGGTTTTGTCCAGATTTCATACTATTTTCCCACACACAACTACATCAACGTATGTAAACCACTGAATAGTATTACATATATTCAGAGATCACTCAGTGATCAATAACAAACATGATAAGGTATGCGTTTAATATGGACCAGTTTAAGTCCCTAAACGTTACATGTACTTGGTGGGAGGAAACTAATGATAGTAAAAACAAAGAACGTAAACTAACAACATCACTATGTATTTGGTGAACGAAATGACAAATATGGTTGAAACGGAACATATAAAATTCAGGAAGGGTAAGTATAAACTGATAATGAAATTTGGGATCTAGGGCAAGATGAAATGTCAGTATCTCTGTACCACTGAGATTGACGTCAAGTTACGTCACTTATAATCACCAATTATAGATTTCGTTTGTGGTGTGGATGTAAATCACAGCAAAGACAGGCCTATGTCATTCCTTTATTTTGCTTTGTCACTTTTCTTAGACTACTTCAACGATAAGCATCATAGCAAGTCAGAACATTCGTTGACTAAGCTTGTGTAGCACTTTTTCCGGTGATTTCACTCTATTCATAGTACCATCAATCAACTTACCACCATTTTTACCTGGTATCCTATGCCTTATTTCAACACTATTGGCCTAGTTATCCAACCGACAAAGCTTCAATTTATTTATTTGAACATATAAATATTGGTGCAATAAGGCACCGAATACATCTGTGCCACACAGGTCACTTGATTTGTGTGTGGGATGTGATACTGGCCGGGTGCCAAGACGGAAGGAAGTGGTTTTCTTAAGTGGCCACGCCCGGAGCGTTCGACCTAAAGGTCGAACATGAATGCCACTTTCGTAGGCCAATTCAAATATCAGCCCACCGTAAGTTTTGATTCAACTAATGGTTTATAAATAAAGAGATTCTAAATGATATTCGTACTTATTTAATGCACCTTTCAATACATACTCTTCCACAACGTCTCTCAGTCGACAGAGTTGAGTGCCAGTATCATGTCAAGAAAAGTGGTCACAGTCACATTCTAGTAGATATGCCTATGTTTCTGAATCTACTGTATGGTGAATATCTGATCTATGAGCTCAACGTTGGTTCGGAAACCCATCGGATTTCTTTGAGTGTCCTGTCATTGAGCTCTGAATGAATGTGGAAAGGTTATGGAAGCTAACATCCACCCAATGGGATATGTAGTATCGTAAAAAGTAATAATAAGTTATTCATCAAAATCAATAATTTTCTATTTTTCCAGAAGATATTCAACTGCAAGATATCATCAAATTTAATTGTATTATTTAAAAAATGTAAGGTCAGATTTTTAAAACAGTATCAAGTCGTGTTGCGCATACTTTGTTCCAATTGGTTCGTTGTGTGACCGCCAAAAATGAACTCATGGATGTTGTAATCCAATTAAGCATAGACTGAAAACGGAGTTGTATACTCACATCAGCTAGTCATTTAAACTAGGTTTGATTCATGGTAAGAATATGAAATAAAATTAAGTAATGATGGTAAGATGTAAAATCTAAAAGAATTACGAAACGAATATGAATATCCTACTTTAACCGATTTTTTACCACCTAAGTTCTCTAACCATTGATTATGATTATCGTGCAGAAGTCAACCAGAACTCTGGATCTCTTATCACAACTCAGTCCAATATTTAATGACTTCATAGACCTATGCCATATTCTCCTCATAGAATTCACTGTTATCAACTACTAACTAGTATCAATTGAATTATGAAAATGAAGACAAATCCTGTGGAATCATTTATTCTGTTTGAGAAATAGCATTCAACTAATGATTACGGGAAACACACAATTTCATGGTAGCAAAAGGTGGTTTGAAGTAACAAGACGAATTAAACCGAACAACAGATTACTACCTATTACAAACAAGAATCTACACGGAGATGCACGCATATACGCACAAGAACATTGATGAAAAGTGATGTAAGCAAAGATAAACCAAACAAACAAACAGCACAATGCGAGGATGATATACTTGGTACAGTATTCAAAATTTAGAAAAATAACTGGCTTTTCGACAAGTACTTTAGAATGAATAAATTTTCAGTAAACTTTGAATATGTAGTGTCTGAAAATGTATGAATTTTGATAAAAACGAAAATGTATTGACATGTTTAGCACGTTGTTATCTGCGACAGCAAACGAAATGATAAAAACCTCAAATCATGATGTATAAATACGGGAAAAGTTTGTATCCTGAAGGGAAAAATAACGTCTCCGGATAAATCTATCACAAAGAAATTATGTACTTTACCATACTTCAAATGTGCTTCGAAGACTTCAGTGTATACTGGATGACGTTACAAGTGACCAATGATACTATTTGTTATGTTGGAAAATGATATGAATGATTGTAGAATTTCAAAAGATTATCTAATCTGTTACACAAATCACATTAACAGACGACATGCAAAAACACAATGAAAATAATAATTAGCATTAAATATTGGAGTTCATTTAATTCTCGTTCCACAACAACTTATTTACTAGCTGCATGTGATTTCTCTGATTGTATCGGTGTTGGTACAGTGGTTGTAGTTGTAGTAATCAATGTTACTTCTCCGCTGGTGGTGGTATTTGTTGTTAGATTACTAAACTCGTCGGCAAATCCATCATTGACACAGTCACTAATGTGCTCATCTAAATCACTGCAACCAATCAATTCACCTGAGCTACCACTTGTATTCAACGCTTTCTCTCCACCATTATCATTATCAATATCGTTATTATTCTTTTCATTATTATCATTATTATTATTATTATCGAAGAAAGGATTTTCGACTTCGATTTCACCAGTCTATTAAAATAAGTAAGTATTAAGAAGGAGCAATTTAGTTTAATTAAATTATCTCAATGATAATTTGATAGAGTGTGATAGAATTTTGAAATCTACTGTTACGAGTATTCAATGGAGTTGGAAGTTTTGATTAGATAGATACAGTAATGTTTCAACCAAGCCAGGTGTCTTCAAATGTTTTACAATATGTGGTAAATGAAACTATTTGATTTATTTTTTATCGGTGTAACACTTATTAGATTAATGTCGTTACTATGTCCTGTTGTAGAACACCAGGTTGTCTAGTTCAACTGACTTCTTAAAGCGGTAAAATAGTGGCATGGCGTTTGTTATTGTCAAATACTATATTCAACAGTTGATCAGTTACAATTAGGACAGACTCGATAATACTATGAAGTAAAGAAATATCGCTCTTGCCTTAAAGCTGTGGCAGACTAAAAATACAATTATCATATATAGTAACAAACGTATTAAATAATATTGTATAAAATTAGATAATGATACACAGTCTAGAACTATACAAGTAAAATTAGTACGTTCCTTGTTAAGTGCTGGGTATGGAGTGTTGGATCGGTCATTAAATCTACAATTATAATGTATAATCAATAATTCCTAAGTATAGCGTATAATCCAAACATACTATATATAATCCAGTAATGAGAAAAATATTATCTGTGAGCACATACAGCAGTTACATTAATGATCTGTCAATATGGCAACGGAGCAAATAAGAAAAAACAGTACTATAATATGGTATGATATTGAGAACAACAATCAGTATACCAAAAGCGGAGTGTGAGTACCCAAAGGGTTCAGGGTCATATGTAAACAACCTTTTTTATAGTCAGTAACTATGATTGTTTAAATGAAACGGAATTATGAAACGTGTGAATAATAACGATAACTATTTTTAAAAAAATACGTCTGTTGTGAATTCTAATAGAATCTATACAATCTGGAATCTGTGAATATTTCAGAGTATGAGAGCGGATACGAAGACGCACCAGTTAGTAGTTCACTCAAGTAATCAGTCAAATTTGCACTGTATCAAATAATGTACTATCGACGTGTGGAAAATGTACGCGTTTCACTGTTTATGAAATTCATAATGAAAAGCCTACAATCAAACATTTCAATGTAATGAACTTTGAGAACTTCCTCTCCAACTGTTCTGTGATTTGGTGACGATCACCACATAAACACGAACCAGACACATGGTTTCATTACATCTTACATCCATGTTCACAACTCCCGTACATAAGTCTAAAATAATTAGCCTTTTAAAAAATGATGTGAAATATCATTTTGAAAACACGTTCTCAACCAATAACATACTTGACTCATTCAAGGAACATTGGTATTAAGCAGGGAAACAAGCTACTTTTGTACAGCAAAACACTACAAGATCTACCACCAAAGTCAGAATCAGTAAGTTACATCATGATAAATAGTGTTTACCCAATCATTATAAACAATAAATGTGTATGCACGTAGACCACGTGTCATCTTAATCTGTATTTATTGCTGAAAATTATCGTTCAGATTGTGATGAAGAATGAAGATCGAAATCATTCAAGGAAAATGATCTAAATCACAATTCACAAACAAAGACATGTAATTCCAGTAAACGAGACAGGGACACAGGAAGTTGTGAATCCCCACGTGTCCGGAACCTCTCCAGTGGTTTCATAAAATGAATATACAACAGTTCATGTCACATAACTCTCCAATAAAACATGTTCACATATTATTGATCGGATTAATTTCAATTCGAAAATCAATAATCTATGTTTGATTAGCCATCAACCAGTGACCTAATGTTAAGTAAATTCACATCTGAGTGTTGCGTATGATCATTCATTTTCGTTGGTACATTGAATGAATTATCTGACTTTTAAAGGTTTCAGTATTGTTTCATGAGAAAAAAACAAAATGAAAATCACTCGAATATATGTGTATTTTCGTGTTAGTCCTACTAATTAGTGTCTTATGATTAAACAAGGTGTCTTCATACCGAATAATCAATACAATGTGATGTCAAGGTCAGAAGTACAACTTGATAGTCTGATGTGAATATGCCAATCGGAGCGAACAATCGTTGCTCGTGACAGGATACGTGTCAACGAAATTGAAACCTAATTGATAGTTGAAAGAAATGTCGTCTGAGTTCCACCAAGATCCATATTATTTTTCAGCCTAAACTGATCACTCTGTAACGATCTGCTACTATTTACTCGAATATTGCTTCTCAATACACTAAATTTTGGTTAATGTATATATTTCGTCTCACCTAGTATGTGTAATCAAAACGTGCTTACTCGAATGATACTAAATGATAGGTGTTTGACTATCGAAGTTGAGTGACTCGAAAGTCAATGGGAAAACATGGAATCACTCGTTAAAGTTATGACTCGAAGTTGAGGAGGTGAACAGTTCTGATAAGGAAGAATCAATTCAGTGAAAATGACTACTTTCACTTCTTTCGGAAAACATCAAAGAAGTATATCATGGAGCTATGTAACGAATGCGGTTTGGATTAATGTCGATGACTTGATGGAATTAGAATCCACTTTGTTCTTCATATCAGTCGTGTCAACAGCTTTTCACATTGTCTTAACTATCTAGTATGAGAAGCACAATTAAATAGGATAACAGACACAAGCAGAAGAGCTCATTTGTTAGCCGTATAATATATTGGAAACTATTATACGTGCGTATGTACATTTGAAGCAACTGACACCAAAATAGTAATAAACGTTAGAAAAACTAAATATTGCTGACCATCATAATTCATAAAAGAACAATTAAACCCTTCTGAATAATGGAGGTGTCGAACGTGACTTTGTTCACAAATGAGAAACTGATGAGATGTAATTGATTGAAGTTGAAAGACACTGACTTCTTGATTTTGTCTGTTCTCATTAGTGATAATTTCGTGATAGGCATATCAAATTACTATCAATCAACTGTTATTTTGGTGACACAACGCGATCAATAATGGTCACATAAAATGGAAACAGATTAGTGACTGTTGTTTATCCACTGAACACTCATTTGACTAGTTGATTATGATCTATCTTTTCAATATGTGTGAAATATTGGTGTGAGTTTATGCATCACGAAGTAAGCGCTAACTTGGAATCCTGCATGGATACGGAAAAGAAGAAGACCAAAGAACGCAGTGCATTGATAATTGGAAGTAGACATCAAAAGCATGAATAGAAACTGGAAACAACTGGATATATTTACCGAGGACAGAATTGGATAGAGAATGCTGGTGGGAGTTCGATGCTTTACGAATAGGTGTTACAGGTGTAAGTAAGTATGTAAGTGATGATAGTTTGCTGCAAATGTTAAATTTTCATGCCAGTTTTTTTGGTCTAGTCGTGAAGCACTTGTCGCCAAACTCGGGTATTTTTGTAGGTTAGCGTAGGCGCACCGTTGAGGATCCTCATACTATGACGAAACAGCTTTTATGTACTTTCTTGTTTGCAATGGCTGTCTCACTGAGATCAGTCCGTGATAAAGTCTATGGAAATGAATGAAATGAATGTCCATATTTCGAACGGGTAAGCCAAATTGAATCTTTCGGATCGAGTGAGAGCCGATCAAGTGTAAATTAGGCATTACTTTTTCTGATAATACTTTTATTTTTAGATATTTTTAAGCGAATTATGAATTTAGGTCAGTCAGTAAACCATGTACAAACATTGTATACGTCTTAGTTTGGTTACTTTGCCGAAATCTTTCTTTGCAGTTGGTGTATTCACCGGTAAATAAACAGAGTAAAAGCCTCAAGGTCATACGCAATGTTTCTAACTTACTATGGTATAACATAATTTTCTTCTAAATAAACACCGTGTGACTTTTTGTATAACATATTTCAAACTACACTCATATTATTCTGTTACCGGTTATAAATTACTAAAATTATCGTAGTTTTTTTATTGACTCATTGTTCTTGTTCTAACAAGTCATAATAACAATTCACTTACTGGTTTCTGATGTAAATTTATCAACCGTTGAATTTTAGAATTCAACTAATAAAAAGAACGAGAGTACAAAACCAAACTGAAACTTTTATTAATAAATAAATAACTCCGGATAGAAACAAATAAAAAGATTTTCACTGTTCTAATATTATTTACCTAGTTTATTTTTATATAAACGTATGAGTAGCAAATTATCATTATTTCTGATGATGATGATGATGATGATGATGATGATGATGATGATGATGATGATGATGATGATGAAACTTTTTCTATAAATCAGTCTTGGAAGTTTGACTAGAAATTTTGTGATGGAAAGCGAGAATTATCATTCGATACAGATGATTAACCATACTTTTAGTTCACTGTAGAAGCGCAACATGTAAAACTTTTTTATAGTGATAATCGGTTAAACCTTTTTTGCTCAAACTAGATGTAAACGAATAGTATTTACGAATCTATCCATTTGGTGATTAAAGCTTCTAATAAACCTTAGTGCTATTTGTAAATGACTTAATATACCTTGTTATCAATGTAAATTAGCGATAGAATCAATGTGTGTTTTTTCAAATTCAAACACATTTCATTAGGTGTATATCAAACATTGTATTTCGTTTTGAGGTATAAAACGTCTGTTTTTATTTAGTAAACGATATAATAACTTCATTCATTGTCTTTGAAAGGTTTGGTAATTATGGATAATGCTAAGGGGGGGGGTACACCGTATTCTAGAGTATTTATACTTCCTTGATGATGATCTACTGGCGGTTCGTTTTTTTCTAATAACATGAAACACATTATTTGCTTTCACTTAACTTTATGATGTTTCTAGAATTTTTAAGTAATTATTTCAATATTTTAAGAAACACCTTAAATATGGTGAACAATGGATTACTTAAATCCTCAAGTGATATATCAACAAAATGGTAGAGATGTGACTAACTTACATTAGCGAGCCCTGGACATTCATAAACTGTGAAATCTCCCTCATCCACATCATCTTCACTGTCATCCTCATCACTTATTCTAGTATGATCATTAACTCTGAAAAAAACAGCAGTACAGAAATAATGAGTTATTGAATAATTTCAAAAACAAAAATACTTTATTTCATTTTGGCTAGATATATATTCACAAACTACATTATCTGATACTATGATAGATGATTATAATTAATTATGCTGTGGTTAGCTTTTAAGACGGTAAAAAAATTTCTTTTCTCAATCCATCTTCCTAACTGTGAAATATGTTGTTCCATGTGAAAGAATGAGGTGAAATTAATATCACTGGTTATTAATACGTAAAAAGTTAATAAAAACGGTATTAGCCACCATTTCTCTAATAATGAGCTCTAATAATGTAAGCTGTATTAGATTACAGTCAATAGGAAACATAGTATTATTAATTGAAAATGTACGTAGTAAATGGAATACGTTATGTTACTGAGGAAGAGTTAAGGACAAATGTATTTCTCAACAATCCTTTTATCTACGCTGTTTATAGTAACTTTTCGTTAGTGAAGAGCAAACGCTGGGAATATGGAGGAATGATATCAAGTTACTTCATAATTCGTGATGTCATCAGAATTAAAAGTCTTATATTAGGTTTTCATGTCAGTAAGGCGACCGCCGAAGTTCGTTATATGGTCGAAGTCATCGTTAAAGTAGTTTCTATTTGAGTTCATGAGTTAATTGAAGCTAGACCACCATGGAAAATCTGGAAGCACTGAACGGCCGTTTCGTCCTATTGTGGGACTCTTCAGCAGCGCGCACCCGCGATCCTGACAGCGGGCTAAGAACCTAGGACCTATCAGTCTCGTGCGCGAACAACTCATGAACTCAACTATTAAATTACTATAATATCCATACGACATCTTTTTGATAGTTTTTATTTATTTACTTGAAAAAATAAACATTAGTACAAAGGGGCACTATAATGGATTGATAATGGGGATTCAATCGACCAGTGCTGCCTCAGCCCAGGCATTTAGTGCGAAACTAACGCCAGCAAAACTAGACGTAGATACCACAGAGTCACTGGATAAGCGCATGTGAAACAAGCTTTCCGAAGCGACAGATAGAGAGAGAATTTGTAGCACTTCACTAGGTCTCGCATAGACAACAGACATAAATGTTGAGACTTTCTAAAGACATAACCAACCCTATCTGTTTTCCGATCAGCATTAATGCGAGAACGTTGAAGGTGGCCAGTTTGAATGGCAAACGTGGTCTCAGAAATACTGTTTCAGTATCCATAGTCGGTCGTCAAAGAAGAAGGTAAGTTGAATAATTTCGAGTCTGTTTCCTTTAGGGCACAAAAATGTGAAAGTCCAGATTTTACTTACCCAAAGGTGGTGGTCGGCTACTGGACAGTTCTTCAAAGGAAGCTACGTCATAACCATGAGTGTAATTCTCTATCTTATGAACATAATTCACGGATACGAAAGCTGACGAATTCAGACAAGGCAAAATTTCCTTTGCATCACAACAGATTTTTTCAAAGCAGTGTTATCATGAAGATTAAGTGCATAAATATCTGATCCACTGTAAATTCAGCTAATTTCCTATGGCAGAGATTAAGTGATTGATATACTAATGTTTAAGTGATAATTATTTATGCTTATAAAGTCGCCACAACTTCTGCTTGAAGTTCAATGATACGAGAATTTAGTTTGAGCTTTTAAAAACGGTTAAAAACTCTTCTTCTATTACTCAACAGTTTAAACTACATTGTTTACCAAACAATTTTATTGTCATGTAGTTAAATGTGTTATTCAGAGACAGTCTAGATTCAGATGAGTAAAAGTTTCATTCCGAATGATTTAAAGTACAAAGAGTTTATCAAAATACTTACTGAAGGAATTTTAGGCATTTTTAAATTAGATTCGTTTATGAACATAATGGCTCAGTGATATAATGAACAAAGAAATGATCTAAATTGTAAACTCTCAAATGAATTGATTCATAAATGAGTAAACGATTTGAAGCATCCGAATCTGATTTTTATTAGTTTTTGTGATAACTTTTATTCATGTTTATTTTTTGTTAAATACTTTATATAGAAATGTGCAATTTTTTAATATAAAATGACTTCTGTTTTATTGATCAGTTATTCTGTTTTCTGATATCGTTCATAGTAGAGTTGAGTTAGCTGTTTGCATTTATAAGTAAATTATCGCTAGGTCATATTAATTATATCAAGAGAAGTAGTCGCTTGCACATATCTTGGAATTCATACATACTTTTGTCTGTCCTAATAGTACAGTAGTTGATAAGACTTAGTGTTCTAGTTCAGAATGTGTATTTTATGGTTCATCAATGATTGTATATAAAATATGTGATGAAAGCCTAATGTAAGGTTATAAAATCTTTAATAGTAAGCATTTTACGATAATCATAAACTTAGATAAGCAATTACGTGATATTAACAATGTGGATGACATATTTATTAAAACAATGAGAATACGGAGTTCATCCGAAAAATGTGATGTATTTGCGCTATACATTTCGAACAATCTGGTCACACATATACCTGTCAGGGCATTTTATATGGAAATTAATAAACATCAATTAAATGAAAGTTCTAGTAAAAAAGGTAACAAACGGGAGTGAAACAATTTTACATCGTATAGAAAGAATAAGAAATTGTCGCAGTATCCTAAGGATTACCAGGGTAAATTCAAGGTTACGACAAATTGTTTTTGTACACTTAAGGGGGGTTTAAATTTATGAATAGCCAAGGCTTTAATAAATCTGAGAATTAGTCCTGGACAGTTTCTAAACAACTTTTTAAAGCTGTATTAATGTCAATTTTGTGCCCCGTTTCAATTATATGTTGCGCTATCGATGAACTTGGTTTTCTACCTCCCACGTTGATCGGATCACTTAGTAAATTGTATTTACCAATTTACATGTATGTGTGGAACATGTATATGGGGAGGAGTAATCGAACAATGCAATCAAGGGTCATTGAACATGTGCCTAGATGGCTTCAAAACCATTTAATGTCAGTTAGTGTCCTTTTTCCTGTTTAATGTACTAAATTATCTGTTTTCTGTATACTAACAATGTTAATTTATGTTTTAAAACCGATAGAATATATCAAGCCAAATAGCTTATTGTTATGACTTCGGCTAAGCTAAAACTCTGTGCTCGACAGACTAAGGAACAGTTTAGAATTTTGTATGTAGTAAATTATTTCCTACAGTTAGTACCTAGCTATCAGAGTGGTTTATTTTGTGATTTAAGTGATTAATCACAACAACTACAATGATAAAACAACTGTCCTATCAATTGAAAACATATTTTCACAGCAAGCTTATACTTTTGACTAACGTGTTGTAAACTAAGAGGTATCAGTAGTATTTCATTTTTACCGTGAAAAATCTCAGTTTTGAAAACTTCTGATATTCTTTTTGTCAATTCACAGTCAAACTAGTACACGAGAGTTAGGTGATAGATATTTTCAGTTGGAGACAAATGGTGTATTGTGGAAATTTGTCTTTAGCAAAAAATGTCGATTTGTATCGACACATTTTTAAACACAGCTAATGATCAACCATTCCTGATCAATTGACAGTTTGTGGAATCTTTTAATGAGTAAATTTATGGCGATTTCTTATCCATTTAAAAAATAATAATTCTCCTCATCGATTATCATTATCTGGAATACTAGTGAAGATCAAAGAGGTGGGAATCAGATAAACATGAAGTAAATACAGTTGATCATTGATAATCATTATTAATAAATAATAGTAACTCCTATTAATAATTTTGTTGTTTGATTATATTTTCGTTGAAAAAGCTTGGACCAGATTGCCAGGCAAAACGTTGGATTTACTTCGAATTGTTTCGCTGATATTTAACAAATACATTCTTCCTCTTTAGTGTCTCATATTAACTCAACGCCCAAATATTGTGAAACCATTCGTTCAAATTTAGACGAAAGTTCTTATTTAACAGTAACTCCTATAGTAACTCCTTGAATGAATTGACTTTTAAAAATTCATGTCTCAATTGAATATGATATGATATGGTTGCTGAATAACAAATTTCTCACTTTAAAATGTGAAATTTGTCTATTTAGTGTTCGACTGCATCAATGATATTTATAGTTTAAGGGCTATGAAATAAAACACTATTCTTAATTATTGTTAGTCTAGATTAATAGATTATTATTGTTCATTCCTTCCCAATGAAAACATTGAATGGATACTTGATTCTATTGAATCTGAATAATCATTCTTGATCACATACTGTAAAATAACTTTAAAATTCTGTTTATCAATATTGAGAGGTGATTATTTCCATGTTACATTTGAGTCATCAGTATGGTTGTATTCGAAATTTATCGTCTCAATTATCCAGTGTTTTATAATTTTTTGGTTCAAACGAATAATCTGTTTAAAAAACCTGACCAAATATTGGTTAAACTTCAGTCTCGTAGTGAAATAGCTATACTGTTTGGTATTAGCATTAAAATCAACTGTCAGAATGATAGTTTTATTTTAATCGAATATTTTCTAAAGCATTTATTAACTGAGATTTGTTTAGAAGCGAAGATGGATGGTGGCTGACTGTGGAATCCAGAATGTGCGTTTCATCCTATTGGGGACTCGTCAGCTGGATGTACCTGCATCCCAGATATGATGTTCAATGCGGGACATGGACCCAGTACTGTTCGTTTCAACTGCATCGCGTTATCATCTTAGCTACTGAGTCCTGATAGCCACCTGCTTGTGCAATGGGGTGAAGTATAAATTTATTTGTTGTTTTTTGCTTGTATGTTTATTGTGGAAATATCAAATGTAGATCGACTTATTATGATTGTACCCTAGTTGAATGGTTTTTAAAAACTATCATGATTAAGTTTCATAAAGTCACTTCATTTCATGTTGATAGAAATTATTATTAAAATCTGAAGTAGGAAATCAGTTTTTAAAATATAAATTCTATCAATACATCGTTCACAAATACTTTTATGAGTAATTCAGTGTGAAGACAGAATATTAACAATGAAACTGTGTAATCATTTTTATAATATAAATCATGAAATGAAAATCCCCCCAAACACGCTAGTGCGGCCAAGGGTGTTGTAACGGGTGTGTGTGCAGGGTTTGGATACGCAGCGTTATTTATCGATCGCGATCTGTGACAGTGAACACGTAAACTTGTAAGGATGACCTAGTGCCCTGATTGGCCCTGCCTCGCTATCTGTCCCCAGCCAGTTGAGTCAAGAACAAAAGTCACAGCCTCGGAGTTATGAATCATTATATTTCAAACATACACTATTTATATACCAAGCAAACAAACCACATCGTACCACAAAGTAGAAAATAACATTGTACAATATTTAACAAGTGAACAAATATCGACCAATAGGAAATGTACATTTAAGGTCCAAGGACACCATTGGACTTAACATGATAATTATTGGTCTCTTTTTCCGACTATCCTAACACCTCCCCTTTTTCGAACGATGTGGAGTTCATATCTGCATTTTAAAATTTTCTGCGTCCGTCCTCCCCCGCGAAATAACGTTGGGTCCTCATATACCCAATCAACAATCAGTCTGATCCTATTTAAAGCATATTTCGCGCATTGAGTAGAGGGTTCACTAAAACTGACTAGATGAGGATTAGCGACACCAGACATGAGGTCATTAAGGTTTGATTCTTGTGCAACATATTCTCCAGACCTCTTCAAAACTCCATCAGTGGGTAATAGGTCACCAATATAAACAGCATCTTTGAAATTCGTATTGGATTTCTGACCATTATTTGATGCACGGGAAACATTTTCTGGCACGAGGGGTTCTTCTTGTAAGTTGGATACCTCACATGTTTCAGGCACAGTGGGATTTGAACCCACAACAGGGCATGCTTCTGAATTGGGCACTTCTGGATCGCTGGACGGATTATGAGCGACTGCCTCATTTGCACTACTGATCATAAGGGATTCATAGAGGCTTTTGTTTTCATCTTCATATGTCCTGCAGTCATTCTCGAGTTCAGTATGCAGGTGAGAAATTAATTCGTCAACCTCTTTCACATCTCCGAAACACGGGAGATTTAGCAGTCGCGTGCGCATGTAGTCCAAAACTTTCAACTGGCTCTCTCTGTAACGATCTAGTAGTATCTGCAATTGACCTGAGGGGATAGTCATTTTCTGAATCAGCAGAGTAATGAGAAATACTGTAATCAATTAACAACCAATGACTCCCAAGGACGCTGACGATCAATCTGAATGCTGATTGGCCAAAATAAATAGGATGAATCTCGTCCAATTACAGGGTTCAAAATTTTCTCTACCCCGTCGCCAATTGTTGTAACGGGTGAGTGACTGCAGGTTTTAGATACGCAGAGTTTATTTATCGATCGCGATCTGTGACAGTGAACACGTAAACTTGTAAGGATGACCTAGTGCCCTGATTGGCCCTGCCTCGCTATCTGTCCCCAGCCAGTTGAGTCAAGAACAAAAGTCACAGCCTCGGAGTTATGAATCATTATATTTCAAACATACACTATTTATATACCAAGCAAACAAACCACATCGTACCACAAAGTAGAAAATAACATTGTACAATATTTAACAAGTGAACAAATATCGACCAATAGGAAATGTACATTTAAGGTCCAAGGACACCATTGGACTTAACATGATAATTATTGGTCTCTTTTTCCGACTATCCTAACAAAGGGCCTACTCGAAAGGCTCTCACATGGCCACGCCTATACATTCACTGGCAGCGAAGTCCTACTCACTGCCTTATCTCGGTGAGGGTGTTGTTTATGCAAATGAGAGGAAGAAAGGTTAATGTCTGGCACTTTAACCGGGTTGGTGTATATGGAGTATCTAGCTAGGGGATTTGGAGAACCCTGATTCCAAACTATTTTTGCTCATGGGCTCCAGGATCATGAAGGAAAAAAAGGTGCATGAACCTATTGTTGATCACCGGCTACCATGAGGCTGAATCTCCTGACGTTGCCCTACTGTCTTGTGGATTAGGCCTTCAGGTCAAAGGCTCTGGGTTCGGCCCCCTAAGAAAATCATCTGCTTTCGGTTTGGGCACCCGGGCTGTATCACAGCGCTCACTCAAATCAATGATAGCTGCTACTGGTCTCGTTGTTATTGTGTGGCGTATATGTATTTGGGTTCCCCCTTATAACAATGTTTATGTGTTCAAATAAATAAAAATAAATAAGTTTTTCATCTTAGTTAGGATCAGCGCATTTTAAACTAAGACATATAAACCATAAATTGTATATATATTGTTTGGAAAACTACAATGTAGATGGTTTTTTGATACATAAACATATAGTTAGCATGATTTATGTGATGGAAGTTCACTTAAATTAACTATAAATCAATTCTCATAGATATAAACACAAGTATAAGAGTGGACGTGGGTTTTCAAGATATTGTTTATCTCTCATGTTCTTTGTGAGAGTCAGGTAAAAACGAGTATTTTTAAACACTGTATACTTAGTTTACTTTTTATCTCAATCATTCAAATTATGTAGCAGCTAATCGACTAGGTAGATTTGTGATATGGTCAGTTTATGTTTAATTGATTAGAGTGCGAGTGACATATGAAACTGATCTTTTTTCAATCGTCTGTGACAGTCAATTTCCATTTATATATATTAGTTTCTTTTAGGTATCAAATAAATCCTCACCTATAGTCTTTGTGTGATTTTTTACGTAATTTGATTCACGATTTCTAGTAGTCTGAACCTTAACAATTAGGTATTCAGCACACACAATAATTATTTAACCATCCATATGGAATGGATTACAAATTACACATAACCAATATATTGTTTAATTACATGCTGTACATAGTTTGAATATTATATTGATTGTTTGTATAAAGCGATTAAGCTATCGTGAGTGATGTGTAAAAACTGATTGAATGAATTCAATATTGGTTTTACATTTAACTATGCAAATCTATGTTAGGTGATACTTTTTTGTGACTAATTGTGGTAAACATGTGCAAAGAAAAGTATAGATAGAAAATTTTACTTATTGATCCTACACGGAATCCTAATTTTATATCATCTGGAAAATCCTTATAGAACGAGGAAGAATGAAATAACTTTAGTTTGGAACTTCTTTAAAAGAGGAAATCTCCAAGCCAGATCAAATGGAGGAATAGGTGTTATAATGAACAAATTGTAAGTCAATTACTGAAAGTTTTTTGGTAGACTTATTTGAAATTTTAATAATCCCTGAAAAAATATTGGATCCTAACTTAGTACTTTTGTTTATATTCTAGTGAACTTACTCTTAAAAGTGATACATTTCTATTGGAAATGTAACATATAGAGCTTTTAAACTAGCAATCGATGATGACTTGTAAATTTGTGATTATATTCCAAAGTTCTGCGTTCTGTTTCAGTGTTCTTATTATTCGATCTCTGTTCAGATGTCTAGAGTTCTTAATTTAAGCAAAATCTAGAAATTATGGGTTTTCTATTCTTTTGAAATAAGGACTTGAAATAATGAAAGATGATTTTAAGCGACTTTTTCATCAAGACAGAATAGTACCTTAAATTTATTCATATTCTGAATTAAAATTATGCACTATTATGTAAATTATTCAGCTAGTTGGTGAAAAACATGATCAAATGTATTCATTCATAAAATATTACGTTCGGATCGATTATGAAACGTGTTATCATTATAGTCTTTTTTCACAATAGCTTTCAGATATATTTTCTCATCACATATCAAATGTATGTGAGGTATATAGTTAATTTGTAACTAAACCTAAACCATTTGTGATCATAAGGAATAAAGTAATCATAAGACTGCTATTTGTCACAAACCTAATCTCGTAGATAAGATGCTACTGGTAAGAGATCCACATAGATTAATTTAACTAGATAGATTTTGATTAAAATATTAACATTTTTGACTAACTTTTCTAACGCTAACATTTGTTGCTTTTGATGTTGATAGTGATACATTTGTGCTGATTGTGCAAGTTTACGATCATCCTCCGAATTAAGTGACAGCATTTTGTCTGGTAAATTTGAATTCTCTAATGTAAATTCTTCATCTTGACTCAAGCGGGTTTGCTTCCATAGTTTACGTCTTGATTGGAAAAGAACAAGATAGATGACAATAGTTACGAATAATGGTTAGGCAAACAAGTGTAAAATACAATTTCAATTAATATTTTATTAAAAGAAGTTAATTTCTTGATAGTTTAGGTCTTATAATTGACGGATAAAGTATATTTTCATTTCACTGATAACATATTTACGGAATTTATATGTAAATATTAATAAAAGTATAAAAAAGTTGACTTAGTGTTGATAAAGTCGTGAGTCGTAATTAATGTAGTAGATTTTGCATTAATTTATTTGATATGATTTTGCTTCAACGAAATGTGCACATGAAATAATTTTTCATGAAAACATATTTCTGCAAGAATTAGTTACCAATTGAACAAAATAATAAAATAATATACATGGCGTCAATGATCGTCGAATTCTACATATGTCCAGAATCTCAATGTTACTAGTAAGTCGAATGAAACCTTATGCAACAATGTATTTTGTGTTTATCATTTGGATATAGTCAATAGAATGCCATCTATCTTAGTTTCATATAGTGCAGATCACTACAGTTTCAATCAAATATCAATTAATAGTCTTTCGTTTATTCATACATGATTTTATTAGCTAAAAGAGTAAACATTTTATTACAAATAAATATGATTTTATCTTTAAATATCAAGATATTGGTGGGAAATCACTGCTTAGTTAATTATTTGAGAAGTTTCATTTCTAACATAAGTTCATTTTATTAATATGTAACGAACTAGTCACCATCTCATTATATTAATCTTATTATTATCATCAATATTGATGTATAACATCATTGAACTTATGATAATGTTGTCTAAGTTTCAAACCTATAAAACTTACAATCAACCTAGTAAACACAAAGAATGTTTAATGAACAATCGTAATAAATCAAAACAGATATTTTTAAATGTTACAAATCTTACTTCTGATAAGCTGTACCTATTGCTGCTATCACCAATACACCCAATGCTGCACAAACTGAACCAATGACTAGAAAGTGAATGTTTTTTTTTAAAAAAAATAACAACGACATATTTACAAACTGTAATTCATGATAATTTCGAGTTATTAATTTAATATTAACAGTTGAATTCACGAGTCAATCTAAGCTAGACCACCATTGAGAACCAGGAAGCACTGGAAAGCCGTTTCGTCCCTGTATGGGGCCCCTCAGCAGTGCGCATCCATGATCTTGCATGCGGGACTCGAAACTAAGGCCCTCGGTCTCTCACGCGAACACTTAATCTGGATTAATAAACCCTTATTAGTCAAACATTTGTTTATTCTCAACCTTTTTCGTTAATTGTTGTAGTAATGTGGTGTGTGCTACTTATATCGACATAAGCAGTATACGAAGTTAGCCAGAAACCAAAATGTCTGGCAGCAGAGAGACAAGAGGACCGAACAGCAAAGAATGGAAACAGAATGCAATCTGTATGCAAATGCAAGGATAATAAAGTCTGAGTCGTTTTGAGACAACTGATGGACATTTTGCAAATTAAGCATTTACTATGTGATTGTTAGATTTTATTAACAAGTCCTGTGATTCTGTACCAAGCACATTCGATTGTCCTTAACCGTGTTCTGTTCACTACATTTGGTGTCGCTGCCAATCAGTAGAGGGGAAGGATGCTGTTCTGTCGACGCCGTTGGGGCATTCCGGTGCAGAGGGGTGGCGTCGAGTGGAGTGTTCTGCCAGGTGACGTTGGATGTGGCAGGTGTTGTCGGTGGAGAAGAGCAGTGGGACGTGCGGCTGCTGGGTGGACATCGGGTGTAGATAGCTCAGCAGGCCGGTGGAGCACGGGTGTTGAACGTCCAAGGTGCCGGGCGGATGTTAGCCTTGCTTACAATAATTGATTAGGCACTGAATGCACCCTTCCTTCATACTGGACACAACCAACTTTCATCACATAATTAATTGATTTAGAGAAGAGTTATTTACAATTTCGAGACAATTTACATATCACAGACTGATAAAAGTAATAGAATCATTGAAAACAAGCGAGAACTGGGTGACCATTATGTTGTTGCTTGAATCTCCACAGTAATGAACACCTATAATGTCATTCGCTAACGACAAAATACCATCAATTTTAGTAAAGCCTCTATTTTCACCACAATGAATCTGACTTAATGTTCTCTAAATTAGATGAGAAATCGCTTGATAGCTAATTTTTATTTCATCACTGAGCTTAATACTAAGTATTATAATCTCCATATAATTACTGTCCTCATTAAGTTTTACAGGTTTTAAATACCCTTTTTCCGTTTTAATTTGATAAGTTTTTTTCACTGTTTCTTAAATCATTGCGTATGTATTTAGAAATGTACCTTGCTTGTTTAAACTAATCTTTGTTGATTTCTATCACAATAAATGTTCTTTTGTGTAGTCGGAGCTGGAAGAGAAAAAAATTTATGGGATTTAAGCATAGGCCCCACAAATTACTGGGTTGGTAGTAAATATTATGAGTAAGGGAAACAAATGTCACGTTGTACTCACTTGCAGGTTGCCAATTCATATAAGATCGTAATCCATTATTTTGTAGACCACTTATCGCTTCAAAAGCAGGTTTAGCTCTCATATCACGATTTATTATATCATCAGAATAAACACTTGCTGTAATTAAAAAAAGTTGATTCAAGAAAGTATTATTAAGTGGATAATAATTTAAGCATAATTAAAACGGCAGCAAAACAGAAGGAAAATGTATATCTGATCTCGAACTTAACACAAAATATCGTAAATAATTTCTAGAGTTGGCATACTGTTAAATTAAATAACATGCTCAGAAAGAAATATTAAGTAAAGGAATTCGGACTATATTTTCAAAGTTGACATATTACTTTAGTATAAAAAATATTTCGTAGTTCAGCAACTCAGTAAAACTGGTTCTGCAAACTTTCTAGGATTACTGCTGGTCTTAAGCCCGGGTAAAAGTGGAGGGTTTGGCATGAGAAACATATTCTGCAATGTAAAAAGGAAAAATTCTAAAAACAATGCCAATCATAAAAAAGCACTTAGACCATTTACAATCTCTCCTGGGTCTTCATATAGAAGAATTATGAGGCCCCATTGTGGAATCCGAGATTCTTCGAAAATCATGGAACTGATGTCCCTTCTAGCAACCAGAGCAACAACTAACATAGGTACATGAAATGTTCGCACAGTTTAGGAGACAGGAAGGACCAGTCAAATGGATGGGTAAATTAGAAACTACAACCTAGTGCTGCTCGGAAAAGTGGAACACATTAAACGCAAGTTGGACAGAAAGATCAAATTCGGAGCAGGTACTGTTGTGTTCCTATCATGAACTAGAAAATGCTTTGCACACACACACAACCAGTTGCATTGTTGCTCTTCAAACAAGTAGGGAATCACAATGAGTGGCACCCAATGTTATGCACCCGATAATCGTAGCAGCGAATATGATGGAGACCGGCTTTATGAGGCTAAAGTCGGTCGCAGAGAACTTTCGAGGAAGGCAACTGAACACCCTGATAGGAAATCGGAACACCAAATCTGAGATGGTTAACGCCCAGTATAAAGGCATCATGGAGTGATATGAATGTGGGGAAAAGAACGAAAATATTGAGAGAATGGAAAACCTATGTGCTTTCAATAACACAGTTATACATAGCAGCATTTCCACTCATCAATGCACATGTGAGGTTACATCGGGCACACAGGATCGCACTACAGCGAATCAAAATGATCATATTTGGATCGATAAAATAAAATACAGACTGTCAATGAAAAGCGTGAGAACAAAGAGAGGAGTTGAAGTAGTTTTAGATCACCACCTGGTTGTGGCCAAGATGAACTTGAAGCAATAGAAGCACTCGGCAACTAGAGAAACAGCATTACAAAGTTTCAATACAGACTTTCTTACAGATACTGACAGACTCAACGAATTCAAGATACAACTCAACAAAAGTTTCCATAACTTACAAGATCTACTCAGGGAAGAGAAATCTACTTTAGAGGACACTTGGAAATGGATCAAAGAAGCATTAACCTCAACATACCAGGAGGTTCGGGGCCTCAAGAAGCATCATTATAAGGAACTGACCTCTGTAGAAACCCTAGACAAGATTCAAGAAACGAGGAATAAGAAGATAGGCATTAACAACAGCCGAACACGAGGCATACAAGCAAGTGAAGAAGAGCATTAGAGCTGACAAGCAGAAACACGTGGAAGATCTAGCAACGAAAGCGAAAAAAGCCACAACAGAAGGAAATATCAGGCAACGATATGACAGGACGAATAAGGTAGAAGAGAAATTTGGTAGATCAGAGTAACCAATCAAGAACAGAGAGTGAAAACCAAGCAGTGAGGATTAAGGGTAGTGGAACGGTTGGGTAGAGTACTTTGACGAACTCTTGAGTAGACCAGGACCACTGAACCCACCGAACATCAAAGCAGTACACATCCTATATATAATTCTGGACCAACAATAGATGTCGGTAAAGTTATCAGACAGATCGCGAGTAAGAAAGCAGAATGATCAGATAGTATACCAGCTAAAGCGCTGGAGTCAGATTTATATCTAAGTGCAGCGAAGTTCCACGTTCTCTCCAGAAATCTATCCAGACAGTTATGAGAGTTCTTTATTCACATAACTTTGGTTATTAAATTGTTTATTCATTCACGCATTATACATGAAATCGTTTCTTTTATGTATCGATATTTGGCGAGAGAGTTTTGTTGTTATTTATGTATTGAACGAACTTTGAGATAATAAATATTCAAACAATTTCACAATTTCTCACCTTGGTATTCATATACACGTTACAAACTAAACTGATTGACTATAGTTCTTAGTTGCATTATGTTTTTATGACCTAATTGAAAATAACGTAAATGCAGCTTAAGAAATGGGAAATGTTCCCTAACATCGAAGTTATGTAAGTTAAACTTTTTGTTTTCATAAACATTTGGAATGTTAAGTAAAAAAGTTTATACTATTACTAGATAACTGTCTAGTTACGATTTTGTTTTCTGTAAACTTGTTATATTTGAAATAAAGTTTTTAACCATGTATTAACCACCATTGGTGGATACTTACTCATGATTTTATTACACTACTTCTATACGAAACTTTAATTAAGAAAATGAATCACGATTGAATATGATAGCTATTAAATTAAATTAATACGACATGAATCTGTTTGTTCCTGAGTATTTAGAGTGTTGAATACGTGCATATATATGACTCCTTCCCATCAGGCTTCAGTAAGTACAGTCATCCTATAATTTATTCTTACCACGTGCTTATTACGTGCATGGACTACTCGTGTTTTGTTAAATAAATCTACTGTCTGATCTATGTTCTGGCTCTCCCTTTATTCATGATAATAATAACAATAATAATAATGGTAATAATAATAATAATGCATTCTGAAAACTACAGAAATCATGGTGGTTTACATGCATGATCAGCTTGACATACACAATGATTTGTTTGATTATGAATCGTGTACCTGAAATAATGTGATCCCAGTCTGAGTATAGAGCATCGATTAAGTATTCAGTCTAGTGATGGTATAAATTCGGGCACGGATCGCATTATCATATAACAAAATCATATTGTGTTAAGTGAAGATATTTTAAATTACTCATTATATCACATAAATGTGCATAAATGCCACATAGTTTATTCTAAATTCTACTCTTAGGTACTATTTAAAAGAAAATAGACCAGATAACTTACGATTTAATTCACTATCAAAATATTCTAAGAAAGGATGGTTAATGTTGCTGTAACTGATAATTCGATTTAGTTCATCGAGTTCCAAATTACTGCGATCTTTCAGTGCCCTTGAAATACCTGGAAAGGTTAAAAGATTTGTTGTAAATAGTTAGTTTGAACAGTTTATTGATTTTCAAAATAAATACTTAAATCGGTTAACAAATTTTGATGCGGAAGCCATCGCAATCCATGTTCACATACCTAACCTTTGCATCCAAAAAAAGAATTGTACAACCACTTTCGCTGCCTTGGCTATCGGTATAAGGGTGCTTGCGGCAGAACTATTTTCGTACTCCTTCCATTTTTTTTAACTTGGTATTTTTGAACTTTATATTTTCATCTCTTGATTCTTACATAACTACTATTCTATTGACCATCCATTAAAATATTTTGTTCCTTCTCTTTTTCATATATTATGCAACGTAGCAACTTCTTGATTTTCGAATAATTACTTTGAATATTATTAATCCTCTTTCTTGCAATAACTCAATGTTAATTTCACTATGTAATTATTACGTAACGTATCGACTCGATGAGTATTATTTCATTATTGCAAATTTAAAGTTTGTTTAATTATATGAATATCTGCCCAGTGGTTATGTTATCTTGATTAAGCTAACCGAAAACAAAATGTTAATCTGTAATATTCATCCTTCAGTTTTACACTTTACAGTTGTAAGTTGTCAGAAAGTCAATATTTAATTAATTGACTCTGTTCTTTTATATATTTGTACTTTATAAAAAGGAAGTGAAAGTTGACTGTGTATTTAACTGACTTGTAATTTTACCTATGCATTACTATTTCATCCTCGTCATGAGGCAAGCGCTTACCTGGAATCCCGAAGAGAAACAGAAAACGGGAAGACCGAAGAACATACTACGTTGGGAATTGAAAACAAGTATGAAAAGGATCAATAGCAACTGGAGAGGATTGCTCAGGACAGAGTTGTTTCGCTTCACCTTAGGAGTCTTCTGTGTTATGAACTATAGACTTTCGTGGGAATAAAACTTATGATCTTCACTGATACGCCACCCAGCTATAGTTTTAAGAAAATTTGGAAGCTTTATTCATTACCACTGACCTCGTTTGTTACTCTCATCTTAACTACTTAGTCCTACAGCTTGTGACTCTTTACCAAACAAAGTTGAGTGGACACTCAAAAATATTCTCAGTCATGAAGTCAAAGAATATGTTTTTTTTGTTGGTAAAATGGAATCAGAATATTCATTTTGAAGTATTATCAAACTGTAGCGAACAGTCTGTATTCAATCGGAAGGAAACAGCATTAGGATGTTTCCTTGGTTTGAATTATTTTGGGTCTCTTGTGATTGGGCCGTAATGACAGAAAACCAATTGTGTGACCTCTAACTCTAGTCTTGTGGTGAATTCTACTTATGTATGTCGACATAAGTAGCATGTGACACCAACCAGAAGTGAGGTACCTGGCAGCAGAAAGTCGTGAAGATCGAATTGAAGAAAACGGGCATAATTATAAAGGCAATGAAATTTGAGACAATTGGTGGACGATTTTCAAATGAAGCATTTATTGTATGATTTTCACACTTTACTAAATAGCTCTAGTTTTTCTTTACAATCCGATTATCTATTAGTTCACCCATATTGCCAGTAGGACTGGTGACCTGTTCGCCAGTTGACACATTGACAGATGAACAACCAAGACACCAACAATTATTGGTCCTCGAGTCCCTTCTGACCCAGTGGCCAATCAGAAGATGAAGGTAGAAAGTAGGTCAGTTCTTTGTTACACTCAATTCAACTATGACTCAAAACTCATAAACACATAAAGAAAATTAAGAAATTACTATAACGGCATAACTACTCCATAAGTGTAAGTGAATTGAGTAACACGTTCGAAATAATTTAACAGTAACTTAAGAAAGGCACAGAATATAGCAACAGTTTATACATCACGAAAAAGCTTAAAAGCAGGCGAATACAAAAATACAATGTAATTTAAATGATACAGAACTAGTATTTATTAACTTACTATCATAGCTATATGGAGCTTCAAATTCCTCACGTTTTTCTAGCCACATTGGTAAGCCTTCTGATAGAAGACCAGTATCAAATCGTTTAAATTGATTAAAATATCCTCTCCGACCATATGTTAAATTGTAGTTGATAACGATAAAAAGTGTAAAAATTATATATTTAACAAAAGGAAACATTATTGACAATATGGGCGCTTCTATAATTTATGCATATCACATTCACTATAAAATAAACTCCAATATTTCATAAACGAAATGAGAGAATAAAATGACTATTATGATTTTTATCTTTAATTTCGTTACAACTTAATCTTTATTCTTCACTAAATCTCGAGGTCAGTAAAGAGTTTTATATTTTCGTTCACAATGTTTCTAAGCCGAAGTAAATCTTCGAACAAAAAACTACTCAACAACATTAATGAGAAATATTTCCATGTTATGTTTAGAAATCAATCTCAATGAATGAGAGGAGATTTGAAGGTCATGTTGTATTAAGCCAATCAGATTCATCTCTACCCGCCTCCAAATTTTTATCTACCCATAATGTTAAACTAATAGGACCAGTGAGTAGAAGTGAGGTAAATTCAATACTATGATCCCCTTCATTCTAGATTTTGTCCAACAAATTTATCAGAGTTTTCATATATTATCTTTCCAACCAACATCATTGGGATTGTTGTGAAAATTTGTTTTTATCAACTATACTTGTCTATAATCCAATTAAATTACCTTCGTTTCCACAAAACTGAATGAAATGTAAAATAATATATATATTCTGAAAGTAATAATTACAGAATTCACTCCAGTTTACAGGTATGATCAACTTGATATAAACAGTGACATTAAATGTAGAGAACAAACATGTGATATAAGATTATTTTAAGTTTACTAGTTCAAAAATTATTTAGGTAGTACATTTATGACATGTAGCAATGAAATGCATCGACCGGAAAAGTTCAATTTTCTTCAATGTAGACATTCTGTTGATGTATGAACAGTGCATTTAAGGTCATTTTCTGCACCATAATGAATTGATTATAAACACCAACAACTAGAGAAAATAAAAAAGAAAGGAGAAAGCACGGAAGAACAAAAGCAATAATTACTATGATAGATCAGTCAGGTCTACCAGGTTATTTTATGATATACTGTTCATGTTAGATATTATTCAAATTGGTTAAAGTTACAAGGGACGGCATTAGTGTAAAGTAACAGCGACTAAGGAGGTTTACCTAGGAAATTCAGTGACAATAATGTTCAAACATTCAAATTTCCTATAATCTCACTTGTGGAATAAGATATACAGGTGTAAGAACATATAAATCATTTCGAGAGAAGTAAGTATTAATGGAGCGAACAAAGAACGGAAGTGACTTTATTTCATGGATAGATTGCGGTAAATTATTCCAGAGACTGGATAATTTACTGGTAAAGTACTTCATATAGAGAGATGATTTAGGATGTGTTTGTCTCACTAATGACAAGGAGTTAAGCATGCTGTAACGAAGAGTTACTGTATTTTGAATTACTTTACTGAATGTAAGATAGTTTATTAGGTGTTTTGAAGAAAAAAGATTAGATTTAGTTTGAGTCTCCTCCTCCATAAAGGGTCGAGCTGAAGTTTAATACATCTGGAATTATAACCCAAGGTACGATCAGTCCAAAGAATGCGAGTTTAAATCGCCTCTAAACGGATTTCAACCTTAATTGATACTTTATGCGAACAGGAAAAGGAATAAAGGTGCGGTATTCTTGGAATGGTCGAACCCATACTTTATCAAAATACGTGAATCGTTGTAGAGGTTCTGAAACATGCAACCCATAAACCGTTGGGAATTGAAGGTCTGTTTCGAGACCTGTCCTATGAAGGACAAATTGTAGTAGTATCTAAGTCCACTACTATATGTAGCTTAATTAACACATTACCATTTATGGTAAAATCTAAGTTGGGTGATGTATTACCGAAACATATCTATCCACATTTAGTCGTGTTAAGTTCCAATTGTCATTTTGAGCACCACTGCTCTACCTTTTTAGGCTCCATGCAGATGCAATTTTGCATATTGTTCGGCTGATTAGGAGAAAACTAAAATACTACTTTAAGATCGTCTGCATATAGGAGTGACTTACCCCCACAAAAACATTAACAAATATCATTGTCAAAAGCTAAAATGAGCAAAGGGTCTAAGACACTACGTTGTATTACATCACTTCTGACAAGTACGGAGTTCGACAAGAAAGAATTAACTTTAATTATTTGATATCGTTGGCTGAAGAAGTGATCAAACCATACAAGCAGAAGGTTTCAGAACCCATAAGAAGCTATTTTATCTATAGGAAGTAGGTGGTTAACCATATCGAAAGCTTTAGAAGTGTTAGATTATGGCACTAAGACAAGGTATACGCAGTTACGTTGAGTAAAGAATGAATTAAAGAAATCAAAGTGGCAGGTCATACAAGATCGATTTTTAAGAAATCCATTTTGAGAATGATTGATAAGTTTTTCAGTAAGCAAATAGTTGGAGAATTCGTCACTAACAATTTTTTCTATAATGCTAGAGGTAACTGGAGTAATATTTGTGGGCTGATAATTGTACATGTCAGTCTTATCTTCAAATTTTTTACGTGGTATGATATGTGTGGTTTTCCAACAGAGAGAGAGAGAGAGTGAACAGCTTTAGACGAAGAAGTGGAATATCTAGTCCACCATATTTGTGGCGAATAGATGAAATCTCGTTTACTCCATCACCACTTGAAACCTTAAGAGAGTTTATAACTTTACTAATTTCTAGGTATGTGAAAGAAATAGATTTTATCAAGTTACTAGTCACAAACATGACTTTGGAAACAGAGCCACTTAGGAATTGATTATTGCTTGTAAAAATACCACTGAAAAGATATGTAATGGTTTTAAAGCCGTTTATAAAATGTCATTATGCCGGATCCATAGTATGTCTGTATTTTGAGTTGGTTTAACGCGTTTATTGAAAAGGAGAATTAAGTTTTGTACTTTTGAGCTCTCATTAAGTGCCAACAACCGCTCATTAATGACTGTTAACTTGTTCTTTTTGTTAATTTGACTAAAAGTTATAGTTATCTGTGTAACTGCCGTTAAATCGCTTGATTTGAAATGACGTTTCTGCGGCGTCTTAATTTGTTACGATATTTAACTGGCATGAAAAAGTCGCTAGGTTTACTAACTCTGTACTTTATACGAGATGCACAGAAATCTAAACAAGATCTAGTGATGGCATCCATGAGACTATTACATGAGAAAAAAGTATCCCAATCTGAGAATTTAACCAGTGAGTACAGGAGCTCCTAGTCAGCATGCTTATAGTCTCCATATTGACGGGATTTTTGTGTGGGTCGGTTATAAGAGGATTGATAAGGAGAGCACAAACCACTATTTTATGGTCACTGCTTTCAACTTCGTTGTACATTTGTACAGATGGTTGGATGACATCTCAATTAAATATTAGATCAAGAATGTAATAATACCTTATTGGGGTACTGTTATGATTTCTCTTATTACGACCCAACCACTCCTATTGCTTAGTATTCTTGAACACTACTTCACTCGACAAGCCCCCTAATAAGAAAACGGTGGAACAAGAACGGATTTATATCTCAAATAACAAGGGTGAACGGAAATATGATTCACAATAAGAAAAACGTTAGTATATTCATAGATTTTACATAGGAAGATTCTAGAGTCTTCACCAAGTACCCATTAGGGCTGATTGGATAAGATATAGCCAATCAGTGTGTCCTAACACAATCCTACACGAAACATACTTTAATCCAGTATATAACCCACTAACATCTCCCCTTTGAGCAAATTCGTAGGATCTGGTGTTAGTGTCCACCCGCGACTGCGTGACTGGTCTGTGCCTTCGATTTGTCCACCTTCTAGGCAATAAGGAAGTGGTGTCACTCTTTGCTTGCACAGAGAATGATTTGTCTGTTCCAGGGGTTTGGATTTCAAATGTGTCCAGAAGAATATTAATATGTATTCCATGTCGGGTCTCGTTGCTGGTGATCAAAATTGTTTTCAGTTGGTTGGCGTGACGCACCCAAACTTCTGAGTCAACTGACAACTTGTAAACCACACTACCGTTCTTTGAGCGATTCAGCCAGATATTCATGTAGGATGTTTTCCACGATAGTTCATAATAAGTATTTTTGACCCACCGTGAACAATCGTCTTTGACCTTCATGATGTTGATTGAATTACTTCTCCATCGATGTTATGTTGAGGCTGAAGAGCTTGTGTAGGACGAATGGCATCGAAATTTGTTATTATTTTCTTCCAAGTAAAGCTTCTGCTGGACAAACCCAGTTAACTGTCTGTGGATTAGGTGTAGAACGATAGATAAGCAGGAAGCTCTCTACAATCTCTTCGGCGGTCCTCTCTTCTTTTGGTTTTTCGCAGAGCATTTTTAAATGTACCAACAAACAGTATTACTTGGTCATTAGATCTGGAAAGGGGTGGAGATGCTCGGACATGATTGATTCCGTTCTGCCGACAAAATTCTGAGAGGATATCAGACGTGGAATGTGTTCCATTTTCAGTAACTAATAATTCTGGAACCCCTAAACGACTAAACAGTTGAAATAGTTTTCTGAATATGCAGCTTGCAACTGGATATTTCATGAAGAAAATTTCTGGCCACTTGCCGTTTGCATTAACTACCAAAAGGTATGTTGGTCCATGAATTGGATCAGTAAAGTTCAAGTGTATACGCTACCATGGTGACTGTGGTATTGGCCATGACTGCAGCTCTACTTTCCGCGGTACTTTCGTTGTTAATGAGTATTTGGTACATTAAGGGGATAGCTGCTTTTACGTGACGTCTTGAGTGAAAATGTTCAAGATCTGCTGGTTAGGATTATGACAAGTTCGGCAAACAGAAGGCAGTCATCGATTATTGAGAGTGATAGTCTGTATTCGTAAGACTGGTGAAGCTCCGTGAAGCTGATCTTCGAGGGCCACCCTTCTAGTGACACTAGAGTGTTTCAATTGGAATCTGCTACTACACACCTTATTTCTGGATCTACTGCTATGGAGGTAATGATCATGTCCTCCGGTCCAGGGTGTTGGACTCATATCAATCGGGAGAAAAAGCGTCGGCTTGACCTATAATATTTGCTTACTGATACTTGATGTTGAATTCACAGCTCAGATGCATCGTTACCCGGTGCTGTAATCTGTTAGCCGTATGAACAGGGATTCCTTTCTTAGAACCAAAAGTCACAATTTAAAGTTTGTGATCTGTCAATAAATTTCAGCCGTAGAGCATTTTACGGGATCTTTTAACATCACCTGTCTTTTTTGCAAGTATCGGAGTGTCCAATCATTAACATGACACGTTGCAGACACTGTTATTGGGTGTATCCATTATTCCAATTTTTTTCAGTATATCTAGACCAAGGAGACCAAGGTTTGGCCGTTTTGTTAGATAGTATATTCCTTTACAGTTAACTCCATTGAAGAAAAATTCACACTGTAATTAGCCAACAACTTTCAGCACTCCTATTGATGCCTTATTAATGACATTCTTAGATGGCTTCATTGGCGGTTTTCCAAGCAGGTTACACATTTCGCCGACGTTTTATATCTTACAGGTGACTGGATTTTGGCGCAGTATGGGTGACTGATCATATGGGATGGGAAATATAGTACACCAGAGAGACCAGTCAAGGACAAAGAAGGGAAGACAATCGCTGATATTCAAGAACAAAAGAACAGGTTGGTGTAACACTTTGGAGTATTCTTGAATAGATATCAATGCAACACACATAAACCGTCCTATAAACGCCACTCTACCAAAGATCGAAGAAATAAGGATGGCCATCAGATAAACCAGGCGTGGGAAAGCAAAAAGATCTGACAATATACCAGCTGAAGCACTGAATTCAGTTACAGATGTAACTGCAAAAATGCTTCACGTTCTATTCAGGAAGATTTGGGAAGAGGAACAAGTGCTGACAGAATAAAAAGATGGATACCTCATCAACATAACAAAGAAGGGAAATATCAGCAAATGTGAGAACTATAGAGGCACCACACTACTATAGGTATTAGGAAAAGTTTTCAACAGTGTTGTTGAACTGGATGAAAGATTCGGTAGACGATTCCGAGATTAATAGGTTGGATTCGTTAAGGATAGGTCGCTCACGGACCAAATCGTGAGTAGCTGAAAAAATGTTCAGCATCATCAGGAATTCATACGACGGACTACAGTGCAGAGTCTTAAATGGAGGACAACTGACAAACACATTCCAAGTAAGGACCGGAGACAGACAAGGCTGCTTACTCTCACCCTTTCTATTTCTCTTTGTGGTTGATTGGATTGTGAAGACCTCGATATCTGAGAGTAGGGGAATACAATTGACAGCATGGACGCAATTAGACGATTTGAAATTCACAGATGACCTAGTTAGCTGAGAATTCTGTATTGTACCAAAATATAATATTGAATAAAGCCATTAATAATAATAATGATAATAATAATAACAATAACAATACACTAAAAAATGCAGGTCAAGATAACCAGTGTAGTAGCAGCGTCTGCATCAATAGGCCTCAACACACCAAGGTCAATAGCAAGATCCTGAAACACAACACGGATAACACCAACACAATCACATCTGATGGGGAAACTGTGGAAGAGGTGGAAACTCACGTACCTCGGTAACTTCATCGATGAATAAGGAGGATCTGATGCAGACGTAAATGTAAGTATTGGGAAAGTAAAGGCCGCATTTCCTGCAGCTGAAGTATATGTGGAACTCAAAACAACTGTCTGTAGACATCAAAGTCACGTACCTATATTGTTTTTTTATCGCCATTAGATTCATTCGCCTTGATGTTTCTGAATTATCTCGGATTCCTCTATGATGCGTCCTTAATTTGTCTAGTTGAAAATCCTTCAACTCCCAGGGTAAAATTTCAATGATTTATGTTATTTTTTCTGGTTAACGTTTTTTGACAGCGTCATTCTTACGGCATCAGGTTGCCGAGCCTATACCCTTTGCTCTCTCTTTATTTGAGCTGGGGGTTGGCTGTAACCCTAAAAGTGTTATTGGCGAAATTGTGCTTGAGTAGTTTTCTAATTATTCTTGCATATTAAATCGTGCTGGATTTTACGGGTGATGATCATACTACTTACTAATTAAAAGTAGTTTGAATAAACACAATCATTTCTGCACCGCATTTGTAAAACTTAATCTTATTATTAATAGTTTACAGACCTATTTTGAGGTCCCTTGCACAGTTCCAATTAAGTTTGACCCATTTTACTTTGTTTAATATTTTTTTTGTTTGTTGTGAGAGAATTTACCATTTTAAAAACTTAACACCTTGTTCGTTTTCGTTAACCTCTAATATCTCTTCTTGATGTAACGATAAAAGGGCTTTCTTACTTAAAAATACTGTGATTCCTCTCTTATTTGGTTACTCGATAGATCTACTTATAATTTCAATTTGGTTCTTGTTTTCTAAATACCATACAACTCAAGGTTTTTAAATTCAATGCATTTTACTCATTTTCCGCAATAGTTTCATCTATTTGAGCTGTCTTTTATTTCAGGATTTTAACGATTAAAGCAGTCATAAATTTGTAATGGTCTTGTGGATTCAACATGTGACAGAAAATCACTTTAAATTAACGTATGACTACCTAAATATTTGAAGAATTACATTTCGTTTTCTAACTGACGATAGTTAAAATGGATTTATCAACCTAGTAATCTTCATTGTATAGACGAAGAAATTTATCGGTTGACGACGTAAGTTACGTAAAAATCTGATTCATATGATCATTCAAAATAGTTATCTCTAAACAAATGCTTTAACTCAACAGATAACCAGTTCTGAAATTCAATTAAATTATCAGTTGTTTTATTTGGTTGTCATATAACTTATTAGATAGTCAAATAAATATACTCATCATATCATCAGCTCAACCGAGTCTTATTGACTTACTCCGAATTGAGTTGACTTAAAGCGACTAAAAGTTTTGGTTATTAACTTGACTTATATATAAAATAATAAATATAATTGGTTTGTCAGCATATTTCAGTTTGAAAAGCATAGAAGAACTCATTCAAACAAAAAATATTGAAATTTAATAAAAATCTAATTAGCATATTTGGTATAGGCTTCAAACATCATGATATGTTATTCAGAATATTGAACAGTTGAATAACGATCAATAGTTCATCGCATAGTATAGAAATGTTTACGAGGTTGTAATCTATTTCAGTATTTGATAAGAGAATAATTTGATTTGATAGTTATAATCACAGTGAATATATATATATATATATATATATATATATATATATATATCAGTGAAAGATATAAAATTAACAAGAATGAATTGGGTTTTAAATGTTTTACAGATGATGATACTAGGTTTCTCTCTGTTTCCTTACTGTTCCTCACGGTCTCATAAATCAAACAATGGGCAAAATCATGATTATGTTACAGTTGTTTCACCGAAATTCAAGACACAGATTGACAAAAAGTCCGAATATGTAACTCAGTTAAAACAGAGAACAACATTCAACACTGACAAAGATGATGATGTTTCTGGAAAACATTCAATAGATAACGGAGATTATGAAGACCCCTTCAGGAGACCAGATCTTAATTATTTTAACAGCAACAATGATTATGAAAATAATAATGACCAGTCCGATGTTAGGGAGAAAGATCAAGATTATGCAGAATCCGGTTACATAGACGAAGAGACTATGAAATATGAAAAAGCGATTCAAAAACAAAGTGGAACTAGTCGAGTGTTTAAACACATACCTAAAAATAGTATTACGAAATATACTGAAATTGATAGACCACACAGTTTCAATAACAAAGAAGTTTTAAATAATTATGTTTTTGTCGCAAGCGATTACAGCAACACCGATTTAAGAGAGCTATTTAATAAATATGCTGAAGATACTGATCGAAATTCCAATGCAAAGTTTGATTTGAAGAATTATGATGTTGATATGGACAAATTGTTTAGGGAAAACATAAAATCTAATAAAATAGAGAATAAATACTATAGCGATAAAGTACAAAATAATCATCAGAAAGAAAATCACCAGAAGAATAATATTAATATTAATAATAATAATGATAATGATAATAATAATGATAATAATAATAATAATAATAATAATAATAATAATAATAATAATAATAATGATCGGAGAACGGATTCATTGAGCAATAGGAGACGTCTGCAAAATTTACAGCAATATAAAAATATTTACGAAGTTCGTAAAACAAAGAAACTGAATTATCATGTGAATAAAGAGTGAAATGACAGAAGTAATGAGATGTTTGAGAACTGCTTCAAGAGTTTTAACTAAAATCAAAAAAACATTAATATCAACCAATCAAATTATTCAAAAACAATCCTGTGTAATGATAACATCATTATTAAGAGATTATACTAACTTTCATAATGTAATCACAGTTTTCGAATGTCTATCTTCTTTGTTTAAAGAAATGATATGAAATAGTTTTTACAACTTTTCTCGAGTATATTTTCAGTGCCATAGGCTTTTCATCTTGTTACAATTAAGCAGGATGAATTCCAATAGAAATGTTACTAACAAGATATTTTGACCGATATTACATGAAGACCTATTTAGAATGAATTTACTGAATGTAATCGGTAAGAATATTTAGAGTCAAGCTTCACAATCATCGCCATTGACTTGATAAGATTATCTACATCTTTCAGCTAAGTGAAATACACCTAAATATTGAAGTCTAAATGACTTAGCACCCAGTAACTCTAAACATTGCTTGAGAGATGACCTGCGGTAAAACTAGATAAGGCAGTGGATTATTAAATGGCAAACTGTGTGAGTTTATCTTGATCAGTCATGACTTCTTGAAGATAGCCTTTTGGCCAGATGATATTGTATACAATGCACTGAGATATTCAAATGAATATCTTGATGAAGACTTATCGAAGTTGATCCATAGAGCTCCCTCACTATCGAAGTGCAGGCACGATGATGGTTAGTGTTCATACTGTTACACATTTAGAACCAGATTTTCTATAGTTGAAGAGATCCATTGTTGATGACAGCTGATGAGCATAAAATCTAATTCAAACAAGAAATTTCCCACGTTTAGACGTTACACTTCATGCTACAGTAATGAATAGATAAGGAGCTTCATTCTGAAGCACCTAGTAACATTGTGCTATGGAGAGTCAATCAGGAATAACCAAAGGTCAGTCGATGGCAACCAGAATTAACCTAAAAGGTTAAGCGCATTTCATTGGGGGCAATTTCCTAAGGATAGAGTGGTATATATATATATATATATATATATATATATATATATATATATATATATATATATATATAATGAGTATTTGTGCATTTCATTCGGTAGCCCAATAAACTTTCTCGTTTACTCTTATGTTCTCGCTCGAATAGTAAGTTGGGGTGTTAGCACTTATAACACCGTGTATCAGTATCAGATTTCGGACATCGCCAGTCACAACATATTGGACATAGTGTTGATGTAATGTTAGCCTTAAGATGTACCCATTGAAATCCATCTAACCTGTCCCAGTCCATCGGTATTTTGAATTCTATATATTATATAAGCCAAATCCATCTATATAGACAAACTTTGCCCATATATCCGTATGATGTTGATACGATTACTTTCTTTACCCTGTTTATTTAATCAGTCGAATGACCCATTCCAAAAAGGTATTTTTATTTTTAACATTTTTTCTTATTCTTCCTCTCATACTTTCATGATCAGTGTTATTAATTGACCGGTTGACTAATGCTTTCATTCCTTATAACATTCATTATTTTATGTTACACAACTTGTTCCAATAATCACAATTCTGTTCTAGATAATTAATCTGCCCACCTTCGGTCAATTATTCGATAGTCAACTGATAATTTGCTTCGGTTTATTTGATAGAACTTTGAACTTTATAACTGGCATATTCATCTAAATTCTTGAGTTACATTTTTATTCAGTCATTATTATTTTGATAAGAACCCCCAAAGTTCATACACATTGTCAATTAACTCATAATCATACAGTTGATGTTAACATTTTATCCATGGAAAGAACCTAACTGAGATAAAATATTTCTGCAGGAAACTTATAATTAAAGTAACATCCAGCTGATGAGTCCTGGATTCCACTGCTAACCACTATCAATCTTATTAATTATTCAGCTGACAAAACATTGAAAAATTCAATAAATTTCATGATATTTGTCGATTTCAATGAATTTCGGAGAGAGGGAGAGAAAAAAGTGTTTGTCAATGAACAAAAAAAGAAAAAGATTTCAAACTTTATATTTATTAAGTGCATGACAACAATTTAACGATTTTGATTTTTGATCCATCAAAATCAAATAATAATCATTATAACTATATAAAAAGAAAGAAATCAAGTATTTATTCAATAAAATATGATCATTTATATTACTGTACTATATTTTGTTTAAATGGACATTATGTATTCCATAAGCTTATTGATTTTCTACTATCTAATTAAGATTTATTATTCAGTACAAGGAAAAGTTTACACTACAACATCTAAAAAGCTTCTACCATATTATTATTATATGAATGATTATTATTATTATTCCAATTATTTGAATCAAAGATTAAGTAATTATGATTATTCATTAAATCATTATCTTCCATCTTATCAAAGATCATATTCTAAAATGAATTATTTAATTATTCCTGGAATTGATAAATTTAAAACTATTGAAAGTGAAACAATGAAACATATAAAAGAATTTACTGAAATTACTACAGAACATAAAAAATATGATCATGTTTTACCTTTATCTAATGTTAATGATAATAATAATAATCATAATCATAACACTGATAATGATAAAAGTCAATTTGATATAAATAAGTTTATCAATCCAAATCAGAATAAGATGAATGATTATTCTGTTGATTTATCTATGGAGAATAAACAAATAGAAAATTTATCATCAAATGAAAAGTTGAATGAACTAAATCATCAAAAATATGATATTTCACCTAGAATGAATCAGAAACAAGTAAATAATAGTAATATATTGTTATATAAATATTCTCATAAAGAACAAGATAAAGTAGCTGCTTATAATAATAACAACAACAACAATCCGTATGTGTCAAAGCATGTTGATATTCAATCAAATGAAGAATTTCTATACAATAAACAGATAATTAAAAGTCGTCAATCTTCAAGTTATATTATTCTTCGTCCACGTAAAATAAAGTAGTGATATTGATGATTTTTTTAATAAAATATATTCACTGACCAATGGTTATTATCATAGTATGCTGAATTTTGGACAGGAACCTGATGTATAGTATTGAGGGTGATCAATGAGCGTAGACAAACAGTCAAATTAACCTACTAATTAGTAAATATGTGATTTCCTTTCTTGTTATTGATTTATTGAGTGTGACTGCTGGTAGTTGTATTGAATAAAGTATTATCTAATGTTATTTCGGTTCTCTATTCTGGGTTGGGAATCCTGGATCTGACATGATGTGAATAGTCTCATTATCGTGTTAACGTATTATCTTAATATACCTTAGAATGAGAAAAATATTTTAAATCAAGCGTTCTACCAGAACTTATAATTGTTTTTGATAAATCTCTCGTAAGAATTTAAACTGCCTACACGGAAATACATACATTAATCAATACGAGCTGAGATCAGCTGAACACACATTAAGAAAGGCTATGAAATTCTTTAAAATATACACTGATATCTTCTCTTTTCTCCATGGGAATACAATGCTATCAACCAATATGTCCCATCTTCTAATCTAATGAAAATGAATGAAAAAATTTGTCAGTGGCTTAAATGCGAAGTTTCCATTGTTGTTCCGGACAAATCCTAACTCAACTAGAATACAAAACCATCGTAAGCACCTATCCGGGTGAAAAATACTAAACATACTATAATAGTGACTCGAAATTTACTTTGGCTGTTTATCAGTTCTGTGGGCAGGAAGCAAACCCTGAACTTGTTAATCTGAAATAATTAATCTTGTGCGTGTAACCATAGCTGTATTTAATACTGAACAAATGACATTCTGTGTTGATAACTTACAGAATATAGCTGACCTACACTTTCCAAAAAACAGCAGACCTGTGCTAATCTAGTTTTTTTATATTAGTTTCGTTTAGTCATCAGTCTAATCGAAAATTCACTAGATGATTAGTTAAACTTTGTGCCTCGATTGCGAAAATCACCGGGTATTGATAATTTCACTGGCAACTCTAGTATCGCTTATGATAATTAGTTATAACATTCATTTTTAATCCTGTAAGGGTTATAAGAGGGGTGGTTTCTGGGCATAAAATGGTTAACATAGAGTGCATTAAATGTGCTCCCAATTGACTTTTTCTGTTTTGCCATATTTCGATTACATTTGTTTATATTTTCTATTGACCAATAAAACTTATGTAATCTGACATGCTGCACTTTGAATCTACGAATGCATATGTAGTCATATTCAAATGAATATGCTTTCAAATCCCTTTTAAAAGACAGTAAATAAATTTAATTCTTGTGAAAGCTGAACTATTTAAAGTGACACTATTTCTAATTTTAGTTTTGCTACTTACGTAATAATAAGTAGCTAGAAATGCAAATAAAAATAATGAAATTTAGTATGATTGATAAAGTAATCACCTGTTTTCATCAAATTGGAAAGACAATGATTTAATTCAATTAATCCAAGATAATTAGATACCTACTTAATCTCAATGTAGTTTTGGTACTATCAAAGTAAAAAAATCTGGGAAATGAGTGTTATGTCTTTGTAAGTATGTTCCTAGCCCACAAATCTTTTAGTTCCATAATACATGAAACACATAAGCCTAAAATGTCCAACTACCTTGTCGTTGTTTATCCAACTCATTTCATTACGAGGTAGAAAAAAATGGTTAGGTTATCTATTTGAACCTCCAAAAAACCTGGAAATAAACCGTGTTCCATTTGCAGAGTACCGTTTAAGTAGAAAAATATATGAATAATTTAATGCGAATATTAAACTCGGAGTCCATTCTGATTGTAAGGATGCGAACTTGCAATACAATAAAATAGATACTAGGACGTAATGTTATGCTCTGTTTCAACTATTTATCTGAAATTACCTGTATCTCAGTTTTGATACTCGCACTAAGATTTTAACCTAGTACCTATCGCTTTAAATGTTGATGCTATGATAGTTAAACCATCATAAGTCAATTGAACAACCGTTTTATTTGAACTCGAATATTATAAGTTAATACATTCATTTTTACCAGGATATATCAATCGTATAGTTGACACGTTACCACTGAAGAACAGTTAAACTCATCATTTACTAATCATATATTGTGTCCCATATAGTTTACTACATATAATAATTGACTATTCAAAGCTATTTATTTGATCTGTTAGCGTCACCGTAATATAACTTGACCGTATACATTGAAGAATAAAATAAGGAGTGTTTACCGCTAACTGCTCACATCTCTCTGGTTATGTGGTG